GTCTTCATATTCACATACAGACTCAGTCAAAAAGAGCTTTATTACGAAGTTCGATATTCTGATAAAGAAGTGCCCCGAAATAGCAATACCAAGGGATACCATGGTTAAGCTTAACAACTGATTTAAGTACTAAGAAGACTTCAGCAGGCAGATCGGATAAACCAAAACCCTATAGCCTGGTACACTGATGAGACATAAGAAAACATATGTCCACATATGTCGAAACATTCGCCACAGAAAGGCGCGCGGACTTTAACATCAAGCGATACTACCTGAATCAGAAGATCGCGATCTTGCCTGGCAGCCAAGCGGTTATCAAGGCCCTCAGATCTGATCAGGCAACATTTTAACTGGTGATGGAGTGCCTTGATAAGCTTTTAATGTAAAGTATTCGTAACAACTAAAAATATCAGTGTGGTTGTTCACGCTTGCAAGGTTAACTGGTTATCGGGTTAAAAATAAATTTTCTATAGTGTATTTTGTTGGTGTATACAATAAAATACATTACAGAAAAATTATTTTTAACCAGATATTTTATTCAGCATATTGTATTTAATTGTGGATATAATTTAGGAAAATCAAAGAAAAGGCACATGCAATTCACCGAGGTATAGATAAAAATTCTTTCAATACTGAGTCAACATCAAAGTTAGCCCATTGTGTGCTCGTTCTTTGCCCATGCCTGCACATTAGCCTGAGCCTTAGATGTTAGGAGACAATTTTTGGTAAGCTACAAAGCAAGACTCCCCGTATAAATGTTCATTTGGTCATAAAAACGTGCTCTGCAAAAAAATTTTAAAATCGGACAACGGAAAGATGTACCTCGAGGGGCCTAAAGTTCCGCATTTTCACAAATTGGTCAAAATTGTCTATAAGTCTGTGGGGAATTTAACATATTTTAATGACACTTGATGTTGTTTTGCCCCCCGATGTCAAATAGTGCTAACCTATTTTTAAATCCCCCCAACTTTTAATATTCATATTTCCCTCCACTGGGGGGTTTAAACCACCCGAACTACCACCTGACTAAACTGAGAATTTATGGATGGATGCAGATTTTGTAGGACGGATATCGTGCCTACACAGCACATCTTAGAAGGGGGTCAAGCGCAAAAGACACCTGGATGAACAGTTAATAACCGAGAGCGAAGTGAAATCGGTTTAAATCCGCACGATTTACGAATAAACCAAAAGAGCTCAAGTATTCGTCTCTCAACACATCGCGGCCAAATTCCTCATACCTAATAGTTAGGGGGGCTGCTATAACTGTTTGCGGACCGAGGAATGCCCGGTTTGAGCCAACTCTGGCCACATAGTCGCATATATCATTATCAGGTACTCCCGAGTGATTTGGAATCCAAAGTAAAGTAAGCTCGTCGTTATGTTTACCAACACATTTTTTCGAGACTTGCATTGCCGAACAAGTTTGGAAGTAGCAAGGGGCTGAACCATGATAAAAATATAGTAAGGTAGAACCGCTAAGAGTCGCTTTTAAAATTCTTGACGTTTCCAAACAATTTAATTTTTAAATTTACTCACAAACTCACACACACATTTTCATTTTCAATCTCAAGCAACAACAATTTCGAACAATTTCAATTTTTTATTTTCACTTTTATATGATTTTAAAATGTTGGCAAACTTCAAAAAAAAGTCATGGCCGACAAATTGAGAGAACGGTTCTACCTTGCTATGTTTTTATCATGGGCTGAACAATGCCTTAAGTGCAGCGTGGCTGTCACTGCAGACACGTCAACTACTTCCCTCCAACTATATTCCAGTACGTAGCATATGACCTTGAGGATTGCAAATGCCTCAGCCTAGAAGACCCAATATAAAACTGATGGAAACCGGTTTCGGAAAAACGGTGTCAATCACCCTAGTAAATATGCAACGTAGAAGTGATATTTTCTATACATACCTTCATAGTTGTAAAAGCAACGTGAAAGTAGGAGCAACTATTTTACGGAAAAATGCTAAATTATAAAACTTAAAGGGTGTATACTACATATATATATAGAGAAAAACCAAAGGTTCACATAAATATTTTACTTACTTTAATGCCATGTACAAGTGTGTTCGTGTATTGCGCTTTTAGTTCGCTCTTGCTTCTAAACCGTTTTCGGCATTAACTACTTACTTATCTACTTAATTTTAGAAGAAGCTATTAAGTGCCAAAAGCAGCAACAGTTTGCTGTTTTCATTGCCACTTCGACCTACAAAATTCGAATTAATGGACAAGTTATAATTGGGCGAATACTTGAATGTGGTTAATGAAAGGAAAGTAAAACAGGGAATTGTAGGAATTAACAAAAGCGAATTAACAAAAGAAAATGAGCTCTTTTCATGCCGAGGTTTGTCGCAAATAGGCTGGCCTAAAATGTTAATTCAATTTGAAAATAATTGGTGGAAATTCAAATAATTTGCAAAGCAAAAGGATAATACACATAAGAGCAACATGGATTTTTGCACGGATTGACTTTGGAGAGTGTGAGTTAGTACTAATTTTTTTAAATGGCCACTCGATTTCAATACCATCAATCAGGGGCAAATTTTACTTCTAAAAAAAACGCAATATGTACAATTCATGCCAAAAATTTGCTTATGGCTTTATTTGTTAATCTTTACATTCTAAATACATAAATGTATGAATATTCATGGCTAATGCACATAATTGCTGAAGCATAAAAAATCGGATTTGCTGGTATTACCCTTGGCTTTATTTTAATCACGCCAAATCTATATACATATATAATACGCGATGGCATTTTTTGTCCAGGATAAAAAAACTGCAACGTAGGCTCGATTTAAAAAAAATGGGATGTCAAATTAAAGGACCTGAAGATGTGCAAACTGGTTTTATTCTTTCGAAAAGAGTTGCCAGCTGTTGAACAATAAAATTCAAATTATTTAATAACACAGGCCTTTAAGGCCTATAGTTCAGGCCCTGGGACTAGCTTATACTTTTCTAAAGGTTTTCGTTGCACTTAATCTGAATCCAAAATATGTTTTGCTCTATTGGCTTAGGTTTTCGAGATATTTGTGCCTAAACATACGAAAAACCCGATTTTTCGCTATATTCTTCATGTATTTTCATCAAGAATAGTTTGTTGTTTTACAAAATTGAATAAATCATTTGAAAGAAAAATATTTCCCCTTGATAATGCTGTTTAACTCAACGAGATGTCTTGTTTTAAACCTGAGATATTGTCCATTGAAGTTTATCAGTTTTGCGACATTACTTCTTTGCACAAATGCTTGAAAGATACAACACGAAAAGAAACAGATTTGTGGTATACGTTTAGGCGTCTTTATTTACATAATGAATTGCAGAGCCTGCCTGTTTATTTCCGAATTAGCTCAGTATTTGGTTGAAGAACGCCCTATCTTAGATGCCGATTCAAAAACTCCCTATCCCAGCTTATTTTCAATGTATTTTCGTTTGAGATAGGGCGTTTTTGAACCGAATTCTGAGATAGGGTGTTTTTCAATAATATTCTGAAATAGGGCGTTTGTAATCAAATTCTGAAGTAGGGAGTTCTGGAAAAGTTTTCTGAGATAGGGCGTTTCGAACTGGCTGCCAAGATAGGTCGAGCTTCCACTCAGCCATCGATCTGTTTTTGATTCTATTTATACCCGAGCGCACTTCTGCACAAGGGTATTACAATTTTGTTCACATAACGGTTATTTGTGATAGCCAGTATGAACCGAGATAGATATAGACAAATGCATACATAAATGATTAGAATGAAAAGAGAAGTCGATTAAGCCATGTCTGTCTATCCGTCCGTGTACAAGATAACTCAAGCAAAAACTGAGATATTTCAACGAAATTCTGGTATGTAGATTTCCCAGGCAGGTTGGTATTGAATGGGCGAAATCGGACTGTAACCACGCCCACTTCGCATATAACGGTATTTTCGAGATATGCAAAAACTACGATATTTCAGTCAATATTCAATAGAAATTGGTATGTGAAGTGGAATTATGGTAAAAGCAAATATTATTATAAAATTTTTTGGAAACTGGGCGCGACCCCGCCCACTTATAATGAAATGATGTATCTCTGTAGCTGCTTCGGTGCGAGCCGTAGTTAGGGTCCAGCTAAGAAATCTGTTGAAAATCTTTGAAATCGGGCAATAACCACGCCCACCTCCCATATAACGGTCATTTACAGAAACACGAATTCACTCAAAATCGGTGGTTGCAATAATCACTTAGCAGAAAATTAGATTATTATAAATTTTTGGATTTTGGGCGTGGCTCCGCCCACTTATGACCACAAATATGTATCTCGGTAACCGATTCATCAAATTCAACTAAAATTGGTGCACCTTATAATCTTGGAACGGAAAAGCAATTTGTTAAAAATTATTCAAATCGGACGTAAATTACACCCCCTTCCCGTATAACGGTAAATTTCAAAAATACGAAAACTCCGTTATTTGAAAAACAGAGTGCGCTTATTTACTTCACGTTAATACTTACAACAGTATCTTAACAATAAACAAGACTATTATAGACTTTTAGGAATTGGGCGTGGCACCGCCCACTTTATGACTACAAAGGTCGATCACGGTAACCGCTTTATCGATTTCTACCAAAATTTATTCAATGATTTCATTAGGTCAGTATATTAAGAAAACGTTTGAAATCGGGGAAAAACACCCCTGCTTATCATGTAAAGGTAGTTGAGAGAAAGTTGATATTTGATAACTGCGCCGGGTATATAAAATTCGGTTTCGCCCGAACTTATACTTCTTTACTTGTTTTATAATAATTTTTGCTTCTGCTGTAGAATAGAAAGTTTGTTGGTTATAGCCCTTGTCAATTTAGGTAACGATACAAAGTTTTAAAAATCTTATCAGTCAAATGGGTTCAGTAGTTTTTGCTGCAACCCTCGCCGTACAGCCCCAGCATTAGCAATTTTATATAAAAGTATATTTATAAATAGATATATTTTTGAACAAATTTTATTAAAAATTCTTAATTAATGTATTGCAGCTCTTATTTAAAATATTTTTTTTTGCGCCGAATGTTGCAAATCAACGTAACGTGATTTTACGCTTTTCGTTATTTTCTTTGTTGCAACTGTTTCTTTTTCTGCTTTTCTTGTTTATGCTGCTTGTCATGATTTCCTTGCTCGCTACAGTCCGCTGTTTGCGTCTGATCCATTTCCAAAGCTAAAGTTCCATCTCCAACATCCTTTTCAATACTTAATTTGGTAACTTTCTCCAGTTCTTTGATTGTCTGCATATATAATTTTTTCGATAAAGCTATATCACGGCCCTGCAAGGACGATTGTGTTACTTCGCAATCACTAAAACAGCAAAAGTGTAAGAAAAAGAAACAAATAATTTATGAGCATTAGAATGAGCCACTACTACTTGCTGTAAGTTTGTAATAAATTCAAAAAAAAGGATATTTTGCAGCAACTTGGATTACTGAATTTTGCAATAGAACTGCAGTAAGTAACATATATGTACATGCAAGCTTGTGTACATACATATACATATGTACATATATAAGCGGTAGGAGACAATGACGTAGAAATTTAGTCACTTCTTCTGCCAGCATCGGTTACCTTGTACCGTAACCAGTTTTATGAATTTTTTGAGAAAAGATACAAATTTTTACTGGTAAAAAAAAAAAAAAAAAGTGCAATGCTTGCAGTGTCCCTGTAGGGAAAACACGAACTAGTGAACCAAATTTCTAGTTCAGTACTAGTTATTTTTCGACAAAAACGAATCAGTCCGATAGTAACTAGTTCCGCGCCAGTCCAAAAGCAGGAAATGTGGTACTTTCACAAAACAATATTTTTTTAAATTTTAAAAGCAGGGACGGCAATCATTATGAGTAAAATAATTTTAATCAGCATTCAATCATTAATTTATGATTTTTATTTACAAAAATAATTGTTATTATTGAGTTTTATTTTTTTTGGCTCAACGGAAATAATTATTATTTAATATTTATTTTTTCGAATACAAATAATGATTATTTTATGCTTTTTATTTTTTCGCTCAGAGATAATCATTGTTTTTGAAATTTATTTTTCCACTTAAAAATAATGATAATTTACTGATTCCTTAAAAAATAAAACTCAAATATTAATTATTATTTTTAATCTCTATTGGTTAAACTCGTAAAATAAAAATTATTGTTAACTAAATTCGGACGTATCAACAGAAATACGTGAGTATAGTTAAAATTGTTTACGACGATTACAACTTGTTAATTTTTTTAGTTAAAATTAAAAAAAAGTAATGATTATTTTCCGTCCTTATTTAAAAATTCTAAAATTCTAATTTCTAAAATTATATATTTTGAATTTTATTATCTTTATTTCGAGCCCTTTCCATTCGCAAAGAATAAAAAAAAATCATTAACAATATGCTGAATTTTCATTTTAAATTTCGCCAGCGTCGTTATGCTTTCCAAAATGGAACCCGGCAGTACTTTTTCTAAACTACTTAGCCCAAAAATCTCTGAGGTTCACCACCCGTAAATATTTCAAAAGGGAACCAGGATTTGAAAATAAAGGAGGGTAAGGGGGGTAGGTGGGCCGCCTACAACATAATCTTAAACCCTCACCCTCAGCAGGCTTAAAGTTTTTGAGTAATTTGTTGGTAACCCCTTACCGGGTGAGCCGCGATTCAAAAAAGGAACCCTCACCAGTCCAGTTCGGAACTATAGGAAAAGATGATGGGATGAAGGGATGCAGAACGAACTAGATCACATCTGTCGATTTTGGAACTGGTTTGAAACTAGAGCCAAAGGGATGCAACCGGGGACAATGGACACTGCCTAGGACATCGCAATGTTAAATTCTCGAGTCGCTAGATTGCAAAAGACAAGTAACGCGTACTAGTCATGGTTCCAAACGCACTAGAACCGAACCAGTTCCGTACTAGTTCGTTTCCCTACAGGGATCTTATCAGATTCCGCATTAAACATTTTAATGCAATTTTATAAGATTGAAAAATTCTTAAATAAGCAATTAGATTTTGCTTCATTTTTCATTTAGTCAATACCAGACTACATAGTAGTTTAGTTCTAAACTATAAAATACATACTGCCAAGGCTTTCTAGCACACACAAACCCACACCTTCTAAAGGCATGTGTGTGACTTATACTCACTTGAAATATTCGCCGCTCACGTTCTTAAGCTTTGGATCGGTGGCTAGACGTATGGCGCATTGTGCTCCTTCAAATGGATTCTTCATGAACAGCCACATCCATGGGTAGGTCATCAATTTTACACTAATGGCCGACATTAGCGGCGAACTGCAACGAAATGAAATAAAATGAACGTGCTTAGGTTCAAATAAATGAAAATGGCTAACATACACCCCTACGTACAGTGGTCGAACAAATTACAGCCGCATCACATTTTCACAAGTTTTAACATAAATATTATTTTTTTTTTTGTTATTTAATTTTGGTAATTTTTTTATAAAAACATGGTTATTTTTTTCACAAACTCCGTGTAAATCCAAGTTGAAAACTTTGTGAAATGCTAAAAAAATAAATTCAACAAATTTTCGTAAAAATTTCGAGCTTTCTTAATTGGATTTCCTAGAAAGATTCTGAGTATGCAGTTTTGCAGCCCATTGAATTCTAGTCAAATAAAGTGCATGTGTCAAATGGCAAAAAATTTGTGTTGATTTCTTAGATTTTTTTTTGTTCAAACTGATTCCATAAAAACAAATAAACCCAATTTATTTTTGTATAGAAAAAAAACACAAATATTCGACAAAATATAATTCTAAACAATCAGCAGTAATTTTTAACGATTTGAAACTAGTACTTTCTTCTACTAGAATTCAATGGGCTGCAAAACAGTACACTCAGAATCTTCATAGGATATCAAATCTAAAAAGCTCGAAATTTTTACGTAAGTGTGTTGATTTTTTTGTTTTTAATATTGCACAAAATTTGAAACTTGGATTTACATGTTAAAGAACGATGTTTTATAAAAAAATAAAAAAAATTAAATAACAAAATAATAATATGTTAAAACATGTGAAAATGTGATGCGGCTATAATTGTTTCGACCACTGTATGTTTGCAAATATACCTACTATATGTATCTGAGCATAACTAATTTACAGCAGTGTATTATGCACGTGTGAAATTTACAGCTACTTAAAAATGACAATGCCGCTACCAAAGCTCTTTTCAAGTTTTCTCCGCATATATTTTCAAGCGATATGCTCATAAATACTTAGGTGTGCATGCATACATATGTGTGCCAGTAGCCGGCTTGCCATCATGCCACTTTAGGACATAATGGTGTTGAGATAACAGTTGATTATCGGATTTTCGTACAAGTTGCACATATTTCACGCATTTTAAAAATTTTTACATAAATATATTCGAATGCATCTTAGACTTAAACATTTTGAAAACCGAAAATTTTCAACTTTGACAGATGAAACGAAAGTTTTTTTTTTATNGATATCAAATCAAAAAAAGCTCGAAATTTTTACGAAGGTTTGTTGATTTTTTTTTTTTAATATTGTACAAAGTTTGAAACTTGGATTTACATGGGTTTTTGTTAAAGAACGATGTTTTATAAAAAAAAAAAAAATAAATTAAATAACAAAATAATAATATGTTAAGACTTGTGAAAATGTGATGCGGCTATAATTGTTTCGACCACTGTATGTTTGCAAATATACCTACTATATGTATCTGAGCATAACTAATTTACAGCAGTGTATTATGCACGTGTGAAATTTACAGCTACTTAAAAATGACAATGCCGCTACCAAAGCTCTTTTCAAGTTTTCTCCGCATATATTTTGAAGCCATATGCTCATAAATACTTAGGTGTGCATGCATATGTGTGCCAGTAGCCGGCTTGCCATCATGCCACTTTCGGCCATAATGGTGTTGAGATAACAGTTGATTATCGGATTTTCGTACAAGTTGCACATATTTCACGCATTTAAAAATTTTTTACATATATATTCGAATGCATCTTAGACTTAAACATTTTGAAAACCGAAATTTTTCAACTTTGAATGTTTTTTTTTTATTTTGTTACCGAATTTTTGTTTTGGCAACGGGGATCTTGATTTTCTGAAGCAAAAACGGGCAAATAATAAAATTTAAAGAAATAATTGATCTAAATTTGATTAAATCAGTGGTTCCTAATCGGTGGTCCACGGACCACTAGTGGTCCCTGGAGATACCTGAAGTGGTCCTCGAAGCCAACCAGCTGCTGTATTTTAATTTGCTACACTATGTACATGGCGCTCCAAAGCTCATAGTTCCATCGTCTGCGGCATTCGACGTCGCCAACGCGTAAAGGCCCGTAAATCTTTCTCTCGAATATCCAAGAGTCGCCTCATCAGATGTTGTTATTATCCATGCTTCTGCACCTTATACCAGCACGGGCATAATGAGCGACTTATAGATATGGTTTTCGTACGTCGAGAGAGGATTTTACTTCTGAATTGCCTACTCAGTCCAAAGTAGTACTTGTTGCCAAGAGTGATTCTGCTTTGGATTTCGATGCCGACATTATTATCGGTGTTAAAGCTGGTTCCCAAGTAAACGAAATTATCTTCTTTCTCGAAATTATAAATGTCAACAGTGACGTGAGTGCCAAGGCGCGAATGAGCTATCTGTTTGTTTGATGACAGGAGAAATTCGTCTTGGCCTAGTTTTACTTCTTCATCCAACATGGAAATGGTAGAGTAGACTTCGCGGTATTTCTTACCGATGATATCGAGTTCATCGAATTATGCCAGCAAATTGCAAGCTCTTCTAGTAAATTGTTCCTGAGCGGTTCAGTTCTGCAACTATTGATACAATACACTCGATAGGACCTTGTAACCTATGCTTAGAAGACTGATCCCGCGGTAGTTGGCGCGTATGTCGGTGTAGCCTTTCTTGTGAATTGGACAGAGCACACTTAAATTTCAGTCGTCGAGCATGCGTTCATCTGACCGTATTCTGCCTAAGAGCTGATGAATACACCTTATCAACTCCTCGCCGCCGCTCAGCTGGGAGGCTGTCAGCTCCAGGAGATTTGAGCTCTTCGCACTCACATATTTTAGCCTCTCTTTTCTTATAGCGTCAAATACGCTTCGCTTACTTTTTCAGTTCCCTATAACCGTCCTACATGGCCCGCGTTGTGCCTGATCGGAGCGTGGACCTGTAGGCGGCACCTTCATTTATTTACAAGAAACAATTGGTGGTCCCTGGAAAGAGCGAAATTTTGTCAAATGGTCCGCCATCACTAATATATAGTTTAAGAACCACTGAATCAAATGAACTCCACCTTTTCTTAGCACTATCGGTCCACTTTCGATTTGGCTCTTCATTAATCCCCAATTTGCAATTTCATGGTTAAGGAAAGTGGGCAGCTCTGTGCACCAGTGTCTGCTGGCTTGCGGTTGTGACCAAAGTCATTCGCTCTCCATGTAGCCACTTCAAATCTGAAGTTTGCCTAATTAAATTTCAGTTTCGGCAAGTAATTAAAACGAGTTAATCACTTAAGTGCTTTGATCTGGCATTGTTCGGCATTGGTCTTGAAAAATCACGTGCCCACAAATACTTGGTTCTCCGCCCATCCACTATGAAAATATGTATGTAAGTAAGTATGTAAAATATGCAGCCTTACAACTCAATGGTGTCAAAAATGAAATTTCGCCTTGAGCACATAACGCCAATTCTAATATTAAATGAACCTATTCTCGTATCCGGAAAAGTTCGCCACAGGCATTTCAATGTAATTAATGAAAGTTTTTGACAGGATTTGAAATTCGTGGTAGAATGTTCATAGCGCTTGCCATTTTGTTAAAGCATTCTTGTCTCGAACGGCAACCACTCAGTTTGATGTTAATAAGTTGTATTTGAATATAATGTAGTTACATACAATATTAAAACTTAATCAGAAATATGAATACTTTAGCTAATATTGCAAATATATCTAGACAACTTAAGAAGGAAAATTCTTTAAATATTTATATGTATGCATATACTTATCTGTTACCTTGTTTATATCTAAACAAGACCCCATTAAAAACCCGATTTAACTCAACACATAATTTTTTCAAATGTTTATTTATGACTGTTTTTATACACTCAGAAAAAAGTCAGGCAAATATATTTCTCTCAACACATGATTTGGTAACTATAAACAAATAATGTAACTATAACCAAATCATGTGTTGAGAAAAACATATTTAGTTGATGTAACTAAACTCTTTTCTCAGTGTACATACATAGCGCACTCGATATATATGGGGTTTTAGACTCGCTGAACTCGAATCCGAGGTCCGTTAACCTTAATTAAATTATGTTCCTCAAAAATTCAAATATTAAAAATAGTTGGCAAAAGTTGGCTTTAATTGTGTGTGTGTGTGTAGCTTATATGTTAAGTAATAACAATGTCAATAGATTCTTGACAAAATTTGACTTAATTTTTTTCTGCAATTTTGAAACCTAATAAATTTACCAAAGTATATCAAACAGCATTATCCGTTGCTTATTTCGGAGTGGTTTCTTCTAAATAAAAGCGTGCCATGTGAAATACAAAAAAAAAAAAAATAAAAAATAAAAAGTTTAAATTGGAAACAATAAAAATTGTTGCAACTTCCTTTCTTAGTAAATTTGTTTGCTTCTCTAAGCATTGATCCATCCTCTGCAAGACCCAGTAATCAGCGGTTGTGTTGCTGGGTTGGGAGAACGTTCCAAAAAGGTTTCACATGCAAATAGATTTTAACAATTTAGAATTTATATGAGAAGAAATTTAAAATGACATTTTCGAGACCAAATAATTTGATAAAAAAAATCAAATCAGCTGCTCTACTGATACTACCTGCCCAATGTGGCTTGATATTTACATCTGACTCATGGGCGTAGCCTGGTAGGGAAGGGGGGTGCTCGACGTAAGCAACCATTTTTTGGAACGTTCGCTTAACTCAGGGACACAAACGCCAATTATTGTACCTTGCTATGGATGGATTGATGCTCCCGGCAGCAAAAAAGTACACGGAAAGAAAGTTGCTAAAATGTTTATTATTGCATTAAACGAGCAATTCTCGTATATATACATATATGTATATATATCCATGGACTTCTCGGAAACGACTCTAATGATATGGATGATATTTTGTACACAGGCTTTATCTCCGAGAAGACTCGTATAAGGTTGCCACCTATTCGAAATTAGTTATAAGTTAATTAAAACAGCATAGTATGGATATCAAATGGAAGGTATTTTAAAGATCCCTATTTCCAAAATATTTTTAATAGGGTTGCCACCTA